AAATAATTATCAAATGGGGCCTAAACTAAAGAATCACATTCCATTTCCTATGTAAAATGACATAAATTTTCCTTTTCACAGATAATATGCCCAATGGAGGAGCAACAATGAAAGAGACGACTGGAACTTCGGCAATGGGTATGTGGTATTTTTTTTCCTTCTAATCAGGATATTGTTGTGTTGTTTGCCTACTGCCAATTCCATCTGTAAATTCTATCCTTTTATTTTAAATTTCAGATGATCCTGAAAATGTAACTGCAAGTGTTTATACCTTGAGAAGTGATAATCTTCCGCACAACGATGAGGGATCTAGGCCAAATGCAGAGAAATGGGTGGGGCATCCCCAACCTTACCCTGGTGCAAATATTCCTCCCCCACGTTATGATGGCTGGCATGGATCTCCAGTAAACAATCCTCAAGGTGGTGTATGGTATAGAGGTCCTCCACAAGGAGGTCCTCCATATAGAACTCCAGTTGCTCCTGGTAATTTCCCTATGGATCCATTTCTGTATTATCCTCAGATTCCCCCTGGTGGCCTTCCAAATCCCCACGCTCCTCATGGAACTGGACCCAGGGGTCCCCATCCTAATACTGGAGATATATACAGACCTCCTATGCATGATGGTTTTATTCACCCAGGTGTGTCAATTAGGCCTGGATTTTACCCAGGTCCAGTTACCTATGAGGGGTATTACCGTCCTCCCATGGGCTACTGTAATTCGAATGATAGAGACGCTCCATTTATGGGAATGCCTGCTGGGCCTGCTGGACCTGCTGGTTACAACAGGCACTTGGGCCAGGGCAAAAGTGCCTCTGAGCCTGCAAGTTCCCATGGCTTATCCAGTGGACATGGTTCTAGTGGAAAGGCTTTGGTTCCAGAACAAGTAGAACCTGATCTTCCTTGTGATAATCAAGGACCATACAAGGTTCTGATGCAGCAGGGAAACTTGAATGGTAAGAACGAAGAAGAAGAAAATAGGGTAAACCCAACAAATACTAATCAGTTGATTCTTGAGAAGGCTGACCAACAGAGGGCGTCTCCATGGGAGAATGACTGGGATCATAAAAAGGAAGTTGATGTGAGGAAAAGAACATTTCGGGTGGAACCATTTGCTCAGGCTTCTGCCAGCCATAAAGCTCAATCTTCTGAAAATATCGAAGGGAAGTCCTGTGGAAGCATGAGGACTGGTGATGGTTTACTAGAAAAATCAGATGCTGCTGCTTCTGGTTTCTCTGAAGTTTCCAAATCACTGGCTCCTGCCACAAAAGATTCAAGTCTGATTCAGAAGATTGAGGGACTAAATGCCAAAGCCCGGGCTTCTGATGTGCGACATGATGATGCACCTATTTCCATCAGGGAGGAACCAAATGAGCTTCAATCTAAAGATAAGCACTCCGATCATTTTGTTGCCAATGAAGCTGGTGTGAGTACTGTTCTTCCTCAAAATAGGGATTTTAATGAAGTCATAGACCCTGCCTCCTGTGAATTGAGCTTGTCCACTGGTGATAGGAACGTTAAATTATACAGCGGAGCACCCGTTCACAGGTTTGTTCAAGTCCTGCTTGATTAAAATTGTTGAAGATGTTGAGAATATGTAATATTTCTTCAAATCTGCAGGAGGTCTAATCGTGGAATGCAAGGGAGAAATGATCATCATGGTCGAGGAAAAGTCAATACGCAAGAGGTTGAAGGGTGGCATAAAAAACCCATGTTGGACTCCCCAGGCATGATGGCTACTCCCCAGGAAAGTTCTGATCTTGCGAGAGACCACAGCGCTTTAGGGGCTATTGATAAGGCTGAGTCATTTCCTTCTGATAGCCATGGAGATGTACCTGCCCCATCCATAGGTGATTCAAAAGATAGTCAAGCTCAGGTACATGTTTAATTTATGTGGTTGCTAGTTCTTTGGTGTACTTCTCTTTTTTTTTTTTTTTTTTTTTTTTTTTTTTTTAAATATTGTTCTGTTTTGTTTTGATCAGCGTACAAAGACGAGAGAGCTAGCAAAGCAACGCACCAAACAACTGCAGGAGGAAGAGGAGGAAAGGACTAGAAAACAGAAGGCCAGGGCCTTCGCAAAACTTGAAGAGTTGAACAGGCGTACAGTAGCAGTGGAAGGGCCAACTCAGTGGTCTGAAAATGCATCTAATGATGCCATTAGAAATAAGATAGAAGAACCTCGAAATGGTAACCCAAGAACGATTGATATGATATCTGGAGAGCATAACACAGTTTCTGATCTGCACGTGGTTGCTAACAATAGTGAGTCAACTATGGGCACTGACAAGAATTCTCCCATTGTATCAGAAAATACATCATCGAAGAATCAAAGTAGTGGCAATAAGGAAAAGGTTGTGGCACCTATTGAATCAAGACCTATTGAATCAAGACCTATTGAGCAGGATGCAGCTCAAAATAAGAACGTCTCTGAGGTAAATGGGGGCGGTGCATCCTTGAAGCACAAGCGTACAGGAAATAAACAGAAACCAAATACTCCATCTGACAAAACTGAAAAGCTTCCCCATTTAGTTAAGGAATCCAAAAGTCAGACCGTTGTTGCTGACATTCATTCAGTTGTAGAGGAGTCGAGCAATGTAGATCCTGTTGCTGAATCTTCGACACCTACAAGAAAGAAACATAACAAGACTGGGAAGAACAAGCACAAAGTGGAAGAGGCCTCAATATCTACATCATTACCTCAAGTTTCAAAAGAAGCAACTCCTACAACGGAATATGATAAACAAACGGCTTCTCAATCAGTAATGAATCCACCTTCAGATCCACAACTGCCCATTAATAGAGATGATAATCAGTTCAATTTGCAGCAACCTCTGTTGCCAGTTGTAGAGACATATGGCAAAGGTAATGGTCAGTGGAAGTCTCAGCATTCTCGCAGGATGCCGAGAAATGCACAAAATAAACCAGGAGAAAAAATCCACGGCGGTGATTCTGTTGTCTGGGCCCCAGTGCGATCTCTCAACAAATGTGAAGTTTCCATTGAAGCTGTTCAGAAGAATGAAGCTGAAGCTGTTGCTTCATCTGTAAAGATTGATAACCAAGTGCAGAATATACCAAAAAATAAGAGAGCTGAAAGGGAGATATACGTACCGAAGCCAGTAGCCAAAGAAATGGCACAGCAAGGAACCTTCCATCAAGATTTTTCGCCCATGAACCAGGCACCAGATGATAATAAGGCAGATTCGAGTTCTCAAAGCTCTGATAATACTCGATCCAGTGTTGCTGCTTCAGGTATGGGATTTTCCACAGACCACAGAAATGGGGATGGTAGGCACCATAAACAAAGCAAGGCACACGCCTCATGGCGGCAACGGGGAGCAACGGAATATGGGCAGGGTTTACAAGATCAATTATCTTATGCTTCAAATGCTGGTAGTTATGTTAAAAAATCAAGTGAGTATCAAGTACCTGAGAAGCCTGCTGGAAACTCCACCAATGAGTTCGTGAGTCAGATTGATGAGTGGGATCCACCTGAAGGGTGGAATGACCCCAACTACTCCGCCTCTATCCCACCTGTCACTGCAGTCCTTGGAAGAGACCAGGGAGTGACTGGCAGGGGAAAACGATCCCAATTTAAGGGTCACAAGGGTATTGGGAACAATTATGATCTAAATGAAAGGAAACTTAGAAGTGGAGACCACGAAAAAATTTCCTCTGAATCTTCGATGCCTGAAGTGGATCAAAAGGATGCACCAGCTGCTGCTAAAGAAAGTCGGGGTGTCGGGGAACGTTCGACATCTCATTGGCAACCCAAAACATGGATGGTTCAACCCCACAATCATCAAGGTAGCAAGGCTAGAGGTGATCAAAATGTTGATGCTGATGCTGCACAAACTAATAAAACGGGATCTAGTCTATCTTCACATGGCACAAAGACGAGTGATGGTGTGGCCCAAAATCATGAAGAGGGAGCAAGTGTTGGGCATCATGGGTTCGGGGGAGATAAGAAAATTTCTTCCCGTAAAGACCGTCCATACTCCCCAACTCAAGGTCCAATCCATAATGCAGAGGTTGCTCCAGCAAATTCAGATGTGAGACGCCAGCAACAGTTGCCTTCATTTTACCATAAAGGTAATGAGATCAATAACCGATTTGGAAGAGGGTCGGAGTCTCGTCGGGAAAGGAATTCGTTTCAATATCGTAAGCAGCAGCAGAATTTTCCACCTGCTAATAGGGACAGGCAAAGACAAAATTTGCAGTACGAGTACCAACCAGTTGGGCCACACAATGGAAAACCGAACATGGATAGACCTAAGGATAATACCACTCAGCATTCAGGATCAAGGTACATAGAGAGGGGCCAAGGCCAATCCAGAAGAGATGGTGGGAACTTTTACAAGCAAGAAGGTGGAGGACCAGTTTGATTAGATATCTTCATATTTAGCATAATCTGGTGATTCCAATTACATTTTCTATATTTGATCCGCACCACCCTGGTTTATACGTAGCAGCTTGATCTTCTATGGATCATCAGGTACTTGAGAAATACTACTTTTCGTTTTTGTTTTTTTGGATATTACTTGAGAAATGTCTTCTAAAGCTAAACAGCTGATGGTGTGGAATTGCATTGAGCAGGGTAGTAGGAGCCATATTTGACGGTGCAGGAGAAACTGTTTGAAGTTGGATAGAGGTTCCCGGACTTGTTTATTTTGTAGGCTATTCTGATATGAACAGTTCAATTTGTGCTCACAAGTTACATGTTGGGACGGACCCTTCACACAATTGTTTTTTTTTCCTTTCTCCACTCCACTTCTTTTAGCCTTGTATGTATGACATCTCTTTATTTCCCTCACTTGTTTGAACGAGGAAATGAATTAGAGAAGCATTCTGAAACCTTGCTGGTATCAATATATTTTTTTTTACAGTTTAGCCAAAAAGAGGATCTTACTCGAAGATCTTGGAAATCATCATGGTTTATGCCAAGCTCATCTTTACCGAAAAAGAATTTCGTGCTCAACTTATAATATCCTGTGACTACATGATCAATAACAAGGGAACAAACTTTGCCTCCACTTCCTTCAAAAAGAGGCAAATACAATATAATCCTTATAGTCATTATGCATATACACATGAATTCACTTCCTAGCCGGAAATTACATCCTAAGCTGTTATTCCTGCGTTCATACTTTTAAAAGAAAGAATGACTTCTGATTAAGGATACTTTTCAACTACAAATATTACAGGGCATTATGCATAATACATGAACAGGCCACTTCCAGTAGCACAGGCGATTAAATTTTCTGTTGGATGCCACGCCAAGTGTAGTAACTTGGAGTTCAGGTCAACAGAAGCTTCATTACTTCCCGAGCTTGAATGTTCATTGCCTGTGAAATACAAGATTTTTCAGAGTATTTGAGAGAGAATATAAAGTGTAAAATAAAGAGAGCGAAAAGGAGGACGAACTAACCGTGCCGAAAAAAATCACGTGTCAAATTGCTTAAGGATGATCGTCGTCTAGCCCGCCTAGTGGTTTGGAGATTTGGCTTCCTGAATTTTAATTTAAAAATGTAGGCTAGGAGCTGAGCGCAAATACAAGGCTAACTAGGGAGGGGACAATTGTCCTATTTAGTTTGTCTTAAATCCAAAAAATATACTGGAAGTTAGATTGTAAAATTTGGTCCTTCACTCCACTCCAAGAACATTTATACTATAAAGGCAAATATCATTTATTTAAAGGTCATATGTTTGAATCTCGACTCTCGTATGGTGCTCGAAGTGTAAGAAATTTTATAGTGTTCACTCATTTCATTCACATTCACATTGTGAATTTTCGTCATAAATGACTTTTGGAAGTTATTGGAGAAGATGTTTGGCTTGAAGATTGGCCAGAGGCAGTCTTCCATGCAGACAGTTCACACGAAGCTAGTTCAAGAAGCTCCCTCAGAGGCAGTCTTCCAATTCCAAGTATCAGCCATGGTAACTCAACAAGATGCAAATTTTCAGTTCCATAGCAAAAACATGTGAGTAATTTCAGGATCTTAATCGACCATGTTGAAACCACAGGATTCAAAAGGATTACATTCAGTTCAGAAAACCATGAATACCGTAGAAAATAAAAGAGAAACTTACCGATCGGGAGTTTTTCCCGCTTCAGTAGTGATCCCTTCCGCACTTCCAGAGCCATAAGAGAACATCCGTAATTGGTTGCTGAGAGAAAAAGAGATAAAGAATGTCACTAAACTTAGCGAACAAGTCAGTAAAGCAGCAATTGACACATGGAGCAGTCCAGTCAAAAGTAACGAAAGTAACGTGAATTTATCTAATATGGTACAGAATTTCAGATAAGATCAGAGGTCAGACCTATAAGATCCAGTTGCAAAGTGAAGTCCGTCTGCACTTAGACAACATTCAAATCTATCAAATATGGAATCGTTATCATACAGCTCACACAACTGAAGAAGAGATAATCAGTAGTCAGCTTTGAGTTGAGGATGTTAGCAACAACTTTTTTACCATAGCAACAATCAACATTTGAACTCACCCTAGGTCGCAGGTGCTCATGAACCTTGAAAACTGCGACTGGAGAAGAACCCTTGTGGATATCCCAAAGCTAAAATAAGAGACAAGGTATAAATGAACTCGTGATTGAAACACATATTAACAATTTTGTTTAATTAACAATCTTGCTCATGCACACATCCTTCTTTTACCGATGAATTTTCAACTATGACGACAAAAGATAAGCACTTGTGTTTCTCGGCAATCAAGGGTCAAAATGGAATACGCCATTCAAAGATAATATTATTAGGAATCATGACTCTCCACAATGACATGATATTGTCCACTTTGAGCATAAGCTCTCGTGACTTTACTTTTGGTTTCCTCAAAAGGCATCATCCAATTAGCCAACGTGGGACACTCTCCCAAAAATCCTCAACAGGTATCCCATTACTGAAAAGGTTCATGTCCTCGGCTACTGTGAGATTAATAAGCCAACATTTTTACAACTCGAGAATAAAAGTAGTTAACGGCGAGTAGATCCAAAAACCAAGTGATAGAAAAAGCAAGCAGACATTCAAGGTTTGATTCTAGTTACTGATAAGAATAACAAATCCACAATAAAATATTCCATCACCGAACCTTTAAATTCATGTAATCCCGACTAATGATGAACCGCCCATCACTTGAAAATTTTATATCCGAAATGGAAGAAATGATCTCCGTAAAAAATGATTTTGGTCGACTCAATTCTTCGGCTCGTAATCTGCAAGACCAAACCAGCATATGTCAAATAACAGCATGATATCTACAATATTATCAAATAGCATGTCTGGTGGACTGGAATTTGATTGAGGATTTCACTATATTCTTACAAGGGATTGTACAAACGAGATGAACTCACAGAATTGCACTATGATCACATAATGCAGACTGGCGCATATCCACTAAACGAATAAAGCCCCTTGAGCTACTGTACGCAAGAAGATTACAGTGCAGAGGATGGAATTCGGCCGACGTTATGATCTCTTGATAAACATTAAAACACAAGTCATAATCACATATTTGACTTCAGAAATTGGCATAGCAAATGAAAACTATCTGCAATATATTCAAACTGCAGTGACAAAAAGACATTCCTCAATTTGTAATCATGATCTTGGTCTTGTTCATGTATTCGTTCATTTTTTCAATAAAATTTCAGTTTCTAACGAACAAAAAAATTCCCAATTGCCATCATACAATTCGAAAGAGGCAGTCATATTGCAGAAAGTTGATAAACAGCGTTAATACCCGTAAGATCTTCCATGTTTGAAGGCTTCATGTCAATGATATTGAAACATTGATTACTAATCTCGAGGTTCCATAAGTTTATTCGCAAGTCATCAGCAGAAATAAACGTCTCGCCATCACTGCAAACAAGTTAACCACTTAACTCAGTGTCATTTTTCTTTCAAAGAGTTATTTCTCGCACTCGAATGCGACAACGAATGCTAATTAATAAAGAAAACAGGATTAAATGGCCAGAAAGATATTGCCTTACCTATTGTTAGAAATGGAGTTAATATTAAAATCATGAGCATGACCATACACCTTTCGGCATCTTCTCCAAGAAGTATCGTCTAGATCAGGAATCTACATGGCAAAGCAGCCACAACTTGCATTGTACATGACATTAAAGTTTATAGTCCAATGAACAAGATAAAACTAATTTTATCATCCAACTAGTTACCCACCATGTCATTAATGTCTTTAGACGCTACCTTGTTCATCGCCGTATTCTCTGAAAAATCCCGATGGCAGCCACTGGAAAGAGAGAATTTTCCTTGTTCGCTAGAGAAACTCATCTCTGCCAAAAGTGCATTTTCTGAACTCACATATCGATCATGGTTCATCTCCTTAATGGTTTTCGCCTTATGCTCCGTAACCTGACCTCAAAAAAAGGAAAAAGGAGAAAAATAATTGGCCAACGAGTCATAGTATTGTCAACCGTAGTAGATTTTTAAAAGAAGAAATCTTTGTTTGTTCAATAAAAGCAAGTTTAATGGCCAACTTGTAAACAAAACAAAAAAATAAAATCTCTGGATTCATTTGAAAATACATTAATCCTTGATATTAAAAGTTAGAGATGTCCTCCAATTACATGGTAGTTGAGAAGTTTATAAGTCCATACCTTCCATAGTTTAATAGTCTTGTCATTTGTTGAAAGGATGAAGCGAGATCCGTTGGGTGATACGCACCACTTTACTTTATTAATCTTCTCTTCAATTTCCAAACTCTTCAAGTAATCAAACTGCAGAAAGAACATTAATATGAAGACACGATTGGCGACACTACTGGAGACTGAAATTATTGATTGAAGCATACCTCAGGCTCATGACTCTGAAATTCAGTCTTGTATTGGTATTCAGGATGAGATGCAGGAGTAAGATTCAACTGCTCCAACTTATTCCGAGTAAGGATATTTTTCGAAGTCTAAGAACCAAATAATTGAAGTGAAGAAAATCATAACCCAATTTTATCCAACGAGAATACAAATACCAATTTAAATGTGTTAGAAATCCTTACATCCTTCCTTTCGTTTCTTTCAAATATAATAACACGACCACCTCGATCGCCAATGGCAAGGTTATCACCACTCTTATCGAATCCAATAGCAGATATGATATCAACTACAACAGAGGAAAATTCGAGTATTGTCAACATTAACTTGCTTTGGAGCCACTTAAATACAATTCTCAAGTTATTGTGGAATGTAGATTCATTTACAGAGTGATATACGGATAATTCTGATTCATTTACAAAGTGATATATGGATAATTCTTACTCCAAGAATCAGTCATCATACGGAGAGCGACGGATAGATTATACAAAGCAACAGGTTAAGAGAGAATTTTCCAGTGTTCCAACCAGAATTTTGTACATACAGTAGACACAATAAAAGAAAGGAAATGAAGGGCTCACCATCCTGAATATCCTCTCCGGCACCTCGTTCGCCGAAGACTTGAGAGAACTTCCATTCAAGAGAAGCGTGGGACAATATATTGTCTACAGTCATAGCAACTGCTTCAGTTTCGCAGGCAGAACAGAACAACGAGGTCACAAGCAAAAACGAGGAGAAAGGATTATGAAATTTCACGACTGAGCTGAACAGGTAGAGGTGAGTGGAAGGCTCAAGGCTCTGGCTCTCTCAGTTGTAGCTTCAGGACACGGAGCCACCCACGAATCGCAATAGAGATGAACTACGACCGCCAACCAAGTGGCGATGTCAGACTCAGACATTCAGTCGCCATTAATTAAACCCACAGAAACTGCCAAATATGTCATCTTGATCTATTAATTAACGGTCGTTGGGTTCTCTACTAAAAGAAAGGGCCTTTTTAAAGGCCCATGAAGGACATCGCAGTCCACTGCCCGCAAACACTAATCGTAATTCTGGGTAATAAAATTATTTAAAAATAAAAAAAGCACTTGGCAATAATATTCAAATTTATACATTTTTACATCTAATTTCAAATTTTAAGAATATACATTTATATATTCAAAAAATGAAAATAATAGAAAAATAAAGTAATTCAGAGAAATTATACTACTTCGCTCTAACAGTGAAATTATTTTTTGGTAAATTTTTATTTTTGTAATTCGGAGTTGAAAGCCTTGAGGATCTGAATTCTGCAAGTAGGGAAAGCTACAAAATTTGATGTCGTGTAGTTATACAAAATTAACAAAATCATATTCTTGTTAACAACTTTAACAAACTAACTTATGAACCCATACACTCAAATCTACTTCCAATCTCTAACTGTTTGAATATATATATATATATATATATATATATTAACGGTTAAGTTACATCTGTACCTGGAGATATCAAATGAGTAAGTAGTTAGGGGAGATTATAGGGCGGACTGTTAGTGAACTAGACATGAGGATTATTCATTATAATCAACTGTACTGTCCCACGTAGAGCTATAAACATCTTCAATAAAATGATTACACAACAGTTGATATGTTAAAATTTGGTACTGTTCAAGAGAAATACTCGTACACGTGAAGTTACCAATGAAAAAGGCTCATTCATCCATCACAAGGGGTCCGCCGTAAACACCCCATGCACATCACCAAATTGCATATTCTCCGATGCTTTCCAATGCCGTTTTCTCTGGTTTATGAACCAGTTGTTAATTTGTTTAGGGTCAAGCCCTGTCGACTCCGCCAACTCAAATTTGTCCATCTCCTGCACCAAAGTATGCCAACCCTTTTCAGTTATCAAAGAAGCTTAGAGAGGGAGAGGGAGAGGGAGAGGGAGAGGGAGAGGGAGAGAGAGAGCTGTATCAGGAGGATAACCAGATTGCTGCCCAAATACAACACATAAATTTAACATTCAGTAAACATATTATTTCTTTACTTATTATTTTCCTTTCAACATTGGCGCATACCATAACCTTTAACTTAAGTTTTCCTCAGGAAAATGAGAGATGAAGATATCATGTAAAATTTCATACATCACATAAAAAGCAAGAGCTTACAGTGGGGTAAGGCCATTTGCAATGGACGTTCCACCAGTCAAGCAGGATCTGTCTGGATTCTTTTGGTAGTTTTACCTTCTTTTTAGTTTTTGAAAATTCTTGCTTTAAGCTACTAAGATAACCACCATACTTGCGTAGGAGTCGATCCTTCAGCTCACGATCTTCATTCGCCCACAGAGAGTCCTGCAATTCTACTTCTCCGGCACTTGCATCCTCTTCTGATGAACCAGCAGCAGTTTCATCTGATATCATAAACGGAAAACACCAATCTATCATGACTCCTGCTATAATCGCAATAATAATAGTCAAGAAAATATATTTCTATAACTTGAAACTCTACGTTCCTGATGTCCAAAAAAAGTAGTTTCGCTAAATTATATATTAAAAAAATACCTCATAATTCTGACATGTTTAAACGTACGCTTATTCAAGCATAAGTTGTAATATCTCTTTGACCTAAACACAAGACCTTTTGAGTACTAAAACCTTTAGAATATTGGACAGAGTGTCTAGACATCCCTTCTTTCAAACTTAATCTAGACAAATGTCCAAGTCACCCCAATTTTTGTATCACCACCAAGGCAATTTTAGGTCCAACACACTAATAATGATATTCTTGAAACTCTTATAAAAAGGTTAATGCAATTTTTTAAAAGAATAGCAGAATATTTTTCATAGTTTAACCAATTGTTAATCATGATAATATGTTTTAAATATAACGATGAAATAACTGATCAAATATTCAAATAAAAATTTCTCCCATAAAATATTTAAATAAAAACTAAGATTTATTTAACCCAGTAAGGCGTGATTTTCTTAATGACCTTTTCAGGGGATTTGGGACACGAGTTCAACGCCTCGAACTAGAATTTAATTATAATAAAAATTATTATTATTTATTTTTATTTTAAGAATACTAAACTTGGATTTAATAAACCTGGGCAGAGAAGCAGAGTAAAGAAGAAATCTAGGCTTTTCCCATAAAAGAAAAAAAAGGAAAAGATTGGGCGCGGGGAACAAGTAAATGGGATAGTGATAATCCCATACAAGTAGTGGGGTCCACTAATTCCCACGCACCAGTTCAAACATGACTCTTTCGAAATGGATGCGATGTATCGACTGAAAGAAAGCCAAAACTGCAAAGCGCAGTGGACACTGACGTGACACAGATGCGAGAAGGGATTCTGAGTTCGTTATGTCGAATCCCAGTCAGTGAATTGGGTTACTGTGAAACATTTAAGGCTATACACCATGCCAAAATTAAAAAACTGGAAACAGAAGTTGTTTACCCCGCAAGTCTCGCACCCCCTAGTCCAACCTAACTCAGAGGAAGCTATAATGCGTGACGTTCAATGACTCGTTAGAAATTCAGACTGAGAAATCCTTATTCCAGTAGGCAATGCTATAAAAACTAGCCCAATAATGTGAAAAGCTGCCTATCCATTTACTTGCTCATGCTATTTTAATATTTAAACAATAAAGTGACAGAGTAGCGAATATTCATAAAATAAAAATCTCGAAAAGAGCAGGAGATAATTTTAATTTATTTGCGGTTCCCAGATCTGCAGCAAAGGAACCGCCTAAACTGCAGTTCTCTCATTTTCCCGCTCAAGAACTTTAACCTGAAGAAACATGACCCATCCACCATTTGGACTTGAGACCAAACCTAATATCAGCTACACCCCCCGTCCCAATTCCTAATATTTAACATAGCTAAAGATGGACAAACTAAAAAGTTGCTCTTCAAAACTCTTTAAACTGGAAATGTTACTTTATGGCATTGCCGATACTTATACAAACTCGGACTGAATCCTTAAGTTATCCAACTTCAATCTCAAAACAAAATTAAAATATACGTGCACATATTGCTAAAAAAGTCCTTTAGCCTGTTTTCACAGGCTGAAGAAATAGACCAATTGCCGTATGTGGCAGGCAAAAAGCAAAGCATGTAATACAGTCAATAAGTGCAACAAAGAATTGATGTGATTTCTGCAAACAGTACTGTGCAAACGCTGGATTAACAACCCACTACACACACAGCGCCAATAATGGAAAATAGGAAAGCAACGTAATGACCAAATAATCGAAGTCCCCAATTCTATATAGAATCCACAAGTTAGGAGCCTAGTCTAGGAGCAACAAGAACAGCTAGGAGCCTAGTCTAGGAGCAACAAGAACAGCTAGGAGCCTAGAACTTGTATGTCAAATATTAGAAATGTGGCAGTGCTTTTACAGCGGTTAAATGCGTAGGAGAGAGGTTATAAGATATGTTCGGACTAATCATGAAAATTGCAGTATTGCGATGATAACCACTACTAACCACTACTAAATGCTTATAAATGCAGCATTTTCTTTCATAAGGTAATGCCAAATATAGGTTTAGCTAATAGTTGAGGGTTGAATCTACCACTTCGTAATTGTCGGAATTATCAAGAAAAAAAGACATTTCAGATTATACAGTAAGTAATACCACTTTGGAAAGTTAGTGTGTATGTTTTAAAATATTAGGGAGGGAAGGGGCCTTCTCAAATTCTAGGGGTACATTGTTGGTTTTTGCCGCATCATGTCAAGTTGATTTAAATTGAAGGCAGGCATAAATATTCTTTGAGGATGGGATTTGCACCGAGCTCAAGGGAATTTGACCGAGGAAAGCAAGATGAGAAACTACAACCAATATGGCTAATGGGAGCGAGCGTGCACATGAATTTATCCTATGGCCTGGGTTTTTACGTACGTTGGAAAGGAGCAAAGAAGCATAAAATACCATAGGCACAAATTAATAAAATATAATAAAAAAAAGTTCGCCCACAGTACCCAGGCAAATACACGAACGACACTGGTAAAGCAGTGATATAAGAGAAAATAAATCCCAAAATACACAAACATTGACAAACTCCATAAAATAAGCAATTAATCCGAACAAAACAGAAAACCGGTGTGTGTATGATAGAGAGAGAATGACGAACCGGAAACGTAGCCTCTGGTGGTGCCGTTACATAGACTGCTTAACTGCGTTTCCATGTTGTTGAGGAAGGAAGATGCTTCAACAAAGGGCAGGGAGAGATCCAGCTTGTACTTCGCCAGTATCCCGCAGTAGGTTTCCTAATCCAAGGTGCCGACTAAACTAGTCAAAATATAAGCGACAGGAAAATTTAGGTCATTCTTTATTTCTTGTCCAAGAAAGAAGGGCAAAAAAATCGTGTACAATGTTATTGGGGATACGTTCTGTGTAATTAAGAAAGAAAACTGAAAAATAAGACGGCAAGCAAAGCAAACACCATGAACTCATCGAGCTCGGGATCGGCACCCAAGCAAGTTGAAACGCCCGAAGTTCTTTCGCCGATGTCTCTTCCTCGAACGCTTCTGCCTAGGATATTAGCGACCTCCGGCGGTGCACCGATCTACGAGGCCACAAACATGAAATGAGAATAATGCACCAAACGAAACATAATACTAACGAATCTACACCTGAAGAAGGCAACTCGGAGTAAACCCTAACTGAACAGTGAAACAAACTGTAGCCAGCAGAATATCGATAGATTCGTTACTGTTCTTCCGACTAATATCTTCGGTTTTCGTTCATTTTTCTCCTTACTGAAATCCGATTGAGTATATAAAAAAAAAAAAAAAAAACCACGAAAAAGGCCAGAAGATTTACTCTAGGCTTCCAGAATACAAGAGGAACAGATTCGCACAATTTCATCACTCAACATGTAAACGATTAACTTAAAAACTACTGAACTAGTTTGACATGTACTATGCCGTCTTTGAATTAATTTCGTGAGTGTTAACAAGTCTGTATCGAGTTTTTTGACGGCGTAAAGAATTACTCACTCATACAAATTTCTTAAGAATCTTTCTTCATTCCTTAACATCCAACCATGAGCATTGCATTATTTCTTTAAAGTTTAGAACGTCGTGGCCTTAAAGCTTAGAGTAGAAAACCACCTTTTGGCAGTCAACAAACGCATCGACAAGTCTAGGGTAAAGAGGATGAGAAGCAATTTTCTCTCTAATTGCACCGGCAGACTCCTCCTCGGAAACAACCGCCAAAGCGGCATCGTAGTCCCCCGACGACACCGACGGTACGTGTCCCGATCCAAAAACCTGAAGCCAATGAGAATAGTCTGCAGAAGCAGTAGAATAGGCCTGAAAATTAACCGGAACAAGGAGGTTGTCCAACGGAGCCGCTGAAGAGGACTCGTAGGAGTAGTCAGCGAGAGGATGGAGTCCGTAAAGATCCGCCATGGTTTACGACGGAGAGAGATAACAATGGAAGAATTATTTAGAGGCGTAACTGGGAGCGATCGAGTGTGACAGCTAGTGGGAGTGGGACAGTAAGTGGCCTTTGGAAAGCGCGAAGTTCAGCGTACAAACAAGGATCAGCACTCGGCAGGCTACCTCAGGGCTAGTAGGCTACTGCTAATTTGTACCTTTTCATAAATTATTATTATTATTACTATTATTATCATTATTAAGGAACAAATGCCACACAAATATTGTAACAACAGTTATTATTATTATTTTTTTATTTTATATTTCTAATGTTTAATTGATACCCGCCTAATATAGTTTAAATATAATGTTATAGAATATAAATATAAAAAAACAATCATTTTTAAACTCAAGGTGAAAAGTATCTCTTTTTTATTTATTTTTCTAAGTTAAAGTTCGAATTTTCACTTTATTTGTATTTTTCGTTATAATATATATATATATATATATATATATATATAAGTTAATTATTAACTAATAAATTTTTTAAACATATTATATTTATAACTATTTTTAAGAAATGTTATGTACTTTTAGGTTTTCTTAGGGGCATTTCTGTAAAATTGAATTAAATATATTCAAACTTTTATATAACTTTATAAACATATGAACTAAATTAAAGTCGTGATTTATTATTATTATAGCAATTTTATTTTCCGTAGCTATGAAAAAATAAAAATGGCAAACAAAAGAAACATTATGATTTTATTTTAAAATAAATAAATAAAAACATTTATATTTTAGAAAAATTATGCCGAAGTACGAGTATGGAATCTGCAGGTGCGAGGGCCAAAAAATAATTACGGGAATTCAAATTAATCATTAGCTCAAAACTCTAGAAAAATTCTATATTAAGCTCTGGAATGCATAAGGTCAAATTATATCGGCACAAACTTTCCGCTAACAGATATTGTTCACTTTGACCCTTATATATTACCCCTAGCCTCACGGTTTTAAACACATGTTTACTATGTAAAAGTTTCCTCACCCTTATAAGAAAATGTTTCGTTTTCCTCTTCAACTAATGTGTGCGCTCACACAAAAATTATAAGGGCATCTACAAACAATTGTTTTGATTGTCACACCTCACCTCTTATGCCTTGTGAGGTCGAGACTTGATATTTTCGTACTCGATAATTTTTTGTAGATAAGATATTATAACCAATTCGTCTACATTACAATATATTTCGACTTGAAATCCACTGAGATATGTTTTGATAACGAAATTAAAAGCTCGATAACAACATTCGTGACTATGAACCTACTTTGTATTCAAATCCTTAGTTTTCTCACTATCAACAATTAAGTTTGTTGTACAAAATAATTTGACTACACATTGCTTTAGAATGATTTAATCTTTCGCTACTCTTTTTGTTTTGTTCTGTCAAATTTTACAACTTCATTAAGATGATTTGACGTGGCCATGTTTTATATTGGCATTTACTAGATGAGCTACAGTGGCATGTACCCTATTTCTTTCAATTTTATTATAAATTTAAATTCAAACTATTTAATAACTAATCAAATTTTAAATGCCCCAAACTATTCATAATTTAAAACTTAAAAAAATAAATAAATAAACGGCCCGAGATTATTTTAAAAATATATAGTTTCCTCCTTTATTCTGAATTTTAAAAAAGGTTAAATACTAATTGCAGTACAGAATTGGAAGGGTATAATTGTCAAAATATGGCTAATTTGATTTATAAATTAATAATTTGTCACTATAACTTAAAATAAATTAAGATATTTGGTTCTTATTTTAAATTTTTAGATAAAAAATAGACGACAGTGAAAGAATAATTATTTTCATTAAGTGTGAAAGAATAATATTTAAATATGTCCAACTTTTAATTTCGTTAATATTATAAATATAATATTTTTTTGAAATAATTTACAAATTAAAAGATTAGTTTTTATAATTTAGCTCAACAGATATGGTCCATCGAAAGAGATTCAGCCCATGTTCCTATTGGAGCGGACCTCTATTAGGGCTTTACGATACGAGCATCGAATCACAAGGTCCAGGGCCATGTTACATTTCACCTTCAGAAAGGTTGTTTGATGTTAGTGGCCGAACAAGATGAACCAGTAAGCTGTAGCGAAAATTTTGGATGCTCGCTTCACTGGAGCTGCGTTTTGTTCCATCAATCCCAGAAAGAAAAGGAGTGCTACTTCGATTTCGTCTTGCTTTGCTCTTCAGTTTTAATCTTGTATGACTTTAGATTTCGTTTCTTGAAGCTTAGGTCGTGTAGTAGTTTTTTTTTCTTTTTTTTTTTTTCCTGGCACAGGAGGTGTTCGACAAAAGTCCTCACTGGGAATGAGTAGTTTTTCTGCTAACAAAACTTTGTATTGCGATTCAGGAATGGACGTTGCTCACTGTACTCTAGACGGCAATGCCGACGCAGTGGAATTTTGCCCGCACAGTTCATTTAGTAATGTTCTTGCGGCTTCCACTTATACACTACTAGAGGGTGATCGGCCCAGTCGATCTGGATGCCTATCAATCTTCAATGTCAATGCGGATGATTGCTCTTTGGAGCTGCTTCATCGCGTGGACACGGCTGGAATCTTTGATATAAAGTGGAGCCCTGTTGGTCAAACCATTAGTCCTCTGCTTGCTCAAGCGGATGCTGATGGTTGTATCAGAGTTCATGCCCTTGAGCACTCTTCAAATGGTGCAGAAGGTATGGAAACGAGAAGCTTTTTGTGTCTTACTTTCTGGAAACACGTGGGATGAAGATGCTAAATGTTCTATATTCTATATGCTATTTGAGATTGAATTAAGTATAACATAGACTTTCAAGCCTTACCATGCATCTAAACCTCCTTTTTGCCCCGTGAAGATTATTTTAGAATATTTGTAATCAAGCCCTCGTTTGTTGCGTATTAATATAGCTATATTGTTGGACTTCTTAATGAGTTCTTTTAAGTGGTTCATGACTCAGTGAGCTCATGAATTTTCATCAAGTATTAACTGCAAGATGGGTATTAGTTCTCATGGGGTTCTAGGAAAGAGTCTATAAAGGAAATGGGTTATGGTTTCTACACTAACTAAACCTATTCCCGTTTTCTTACTCCCAACTTGACAAAGAGAGTTCTTAAGTTATGGGTATTGTTTAGTTGAAGAAAATCCTTGCCACCACACGTTAACGATTATGGATGTAGATTATATTTGTTTATCTTTCATTCATGATTCTAACCTTTCAATTTGCATGATTACTTGACTTTCAACTTTAGGTGGAAGTATAAAGCTTCTAAGTTTGAAGTTTTTATTGGTTTTCTTTCCAACATATTTATTTGTTCTTCTTGTTTTTTTTAGTTCGAACATGTGCGAAAAGGCAATTTTAACATCTTACCTCTTGAAAGTACATATGTTTTAACCAAACCAATTTAGCTATGCTTAAGTTGGTATCTATGTTTTCATTTCCAACATATTTATTTATTCTTCTTGTTTTTTTTTAGTTCAACATGCGTGGGGAGGCAATTTCAACGTCTCACTTCTTGAAAGTGTATATGCTTTAACTAGGTTGACATTTATTTTTCATCATAGTGCAGGACAATATTTAAAAGAGAGATGTGGCAGCAAAATCTCTTCCTCTATGTGTCTTTGCTTGGACTGGAACCCTTCGGCCACGTCCATCTCTGTGGGGCATTCAGATGGTTCCATCTCATTACTCTCTGCAGGAGAGTCCCGTTTGGAAGTCCAAAACCAATGGAAAGCTCACGAATTTGAGCTCTGGGCAACATCTTTTGACCCTCACCAACCTCATTTAGTGTACACTGGCTCAGATGACTGCAAATTCAGCTGTTGGGATTTGCGAGACACTCCCACCAAAGCATTTCACAACACTAAAGCTCACAAAATGGGTGTTTGTTGCATCGCCAAATGCCTCAATGACCCTTACAAACTGCTCACTGGCAGCTACGACGAGCACCTGAGAGTGTGGGACATAAGATCAATCTCAAAGCCCACAAATGAAACTTCAATTTGCTTGGGCGGCGGCGTTTGGAGAATCAAGCCCCACCCTTCAGTTTTTGACGTTGTTCTGGCGGCTTGTATGCACAATGGATTTGCAATTGTTAGAGTCAAAGACGATACTGCAGAAGTGGTTGAAACTTATGACAAGCACAGCTCTCTTGCTTACGGAGCTGACTGGCAAAGAGGAGATTCGTCTCATGAAGACGAAAGGAAAAGGTACACTGTTGCAACTTGTTCGTTTTATGATCGGCTTCTCCGGATATGGATTCCAGAAACTGACATATGAGTTCACTCATGTTACTTGATGATGCTTTATGGCACGTGTTTAATTCTTACGGGACTCTATGTTGGTTTCCTTGATAGTTAAATCTTATTGTGATCAATATTGAAGAATTCTTCCAATAATTTCGTGAGTACTTTTAATATGTTTACGAGCGATTTTATATCGTACATGTTTCTGGTGTAGAAGTTGACATTGTTCTTTTCCCTTTTATGGAGATTTTAGTAAGGATGGAGAATGAGTTCAAGCTCGAAATGAAATTGAATCGACCTTGACTTCCTTTGTCACACATACAATGAACACGCGTATTTTAGCTTGATTTGGAATGATATATTGATGAACCTAAGATTTATAGAGAGTATTCCTCGGAATAATATTCTTTTTTTTTTTTTTAAATAAACATTTTTTTATACCAAATTCTTAAGGTTATGGTAGTTTATTGAGATGGAAATTAAAACTATATTTTAATTAATATATGTTCATAATATTTTGTACTTTTAATTAATATATGGAAATCAAAACTAAATTTTTGTGATACAAAAATTGTGCCTCCTATTTATATGAGTTTATTTTCAACTTAATTTTATTTATTTGTTTAAATTACATTTGATTTAATTTCTTTTTTTAAAAAAAGTTGTTGAAGAATAAATAAATAATTTTTTTGTAGAATTAAATAAAATTTTAAAACATATATTTAGAAAAAATATTTTTTAAATTTTAATATAAATTCTAATTGGATTAATTCCAAACTAATTCTAGAATAAAACATGAACAACTGATTTATATGAAAAGTTTGGTCGGATCTCACCGG